ACCAGCGGCGGGGGGAGGAGGCCAACGGCACCGTCCCTGGCATTTCAGTTCCTGGGAGGTCTCTACCCTCCCACCTTTCTTGTGTCTGTCAGGAACTGCCTGATCCTGCGGACAGGGTAACAGCTGAACCCACCTCTGAATTACACACCAGTCAGCATTTTTGAAAAAGAAAAGAATCTTCCCAGCCCCCTTTCAGCTCAGCCACGATCTTCCCTCTAACAAGGGGCTGGCAGTTCAAAAGCACCTTCTCCTCTTCACTGCTGCCCAAGTTCTCCTTGCCCCATCTGTTTTTTTTTTAATGTGATCAACTGCTCTGTGTCAGATCCTCTCCCAAAGTCAGTACTTTCCCATGACAGTTATTTTTCAGATGAGGCTGGAGCTGCTTTCTCAGCCTACTTCAAAGCCCTCATTGTTTGGGGTGAAGTGGGGTGGCAAACTCACATCAACATGTCACAGCTGAAAAATTGTGTTGTGAAGCTGCACAAACAAACAGCACCTTTTAAAAGAAATCTTCCCTGAGACACAAGGCACAACCCCCCAGCCTACAAATGAATTAATGTTCATTGAAATGGAAAGACACTCGCAGGAGGTGAAAAGCAGAAGTGGTTAGAGAGGAAATGAGGCATCTTCTTCCACAGACAAGGTCCCACCAACACATTCTGCTGGTGCCTCATCCTACAGGGACATGTACCTTCATCTCTGACCACTCGCTGAATTCCACACCCTGACAGGAACATCTTTGGCACTACAGCCCTATTGTCACATTTTGTTTCAGTTTTCCACCATGTTAGAACTTTGAAGCGGTGAGATGGACAGGCAGGGAGATCTCCTAAACCTGGTGGAGCTTTGCTTCCTAGAGCATAGCAAGTGGGAGTGTTAGATGATGTGCAACATAAGGTAGAAATGAGAAAACTAATAAAAGACTTAGGCCAACTTAAGGTCATTGGAGTTGAGTTAGTCTTGAAGCAAGAAACCTGAAGTGTGCTGTTTAACAGTGGAAGGCAGTTGAAACCAGGTCAGCTGAGCACAATTTAATACTGATTTTAAAAGCCCCAGGTACCCTTAAAAAAAAAAACCAAGAAAACCCAGAAGTTTACCCCACAGCCTGCTTCAGGAGCTGCTCTGCCTTGTGCTCCAAGACAGATAAATTGCTTGAGGGTTTCTTATTTTGGTTGTGGGCACGAACCAGAGAAATTGTTCCACAGAAGATTCCACAGTGAGATAGGATGGTGAGCCACCAAGAATCAGATGTTGTAAGGGTGGAGAAATCCTCTTGCTGCAAGGCAGGTCAGCTGAATTTGAAGGGGAACTCATAAGAGAAACAGTTTATGTAAAAATAAGCTATTTTTATTTCTTTCTCAGATTCTGGAGAGTTCTCAGACATTGCTAGATGCCCTAAAGAAAGGAATTGAGGATGCTGGTAAAGCCAGTGAGCCACAAAGCACTTCAAAAGAAAAAGAAGAAGCAGCAGATGAACAAGAGAATTACTGAACTTATTCTTCAACCTGGAAAGTCCTGTTGGTCTGGGACAGCTGCTGTTCTGGTACATTAATGCCACATTTAATAAAAGTCTTTGTTTTGCAGAAGTAGATTTTCCTTTCAGATAAACTTTGGTATTAGTTAGAGATCTCCTAAAGATAATCCTCAAATCCTAAAGATCAGAGTAGATGTCTGCTAAAAAATACACACTTTATTTTGAGCACATCCCAGGAGGTGATTGATCAGCTAATGCTTCTGCCCTCAAAGCAGCTTTCACCTTGCCCTGCCAAGCTAAGAGTTCAGCTGGCACAGGCAGGGATTAGAGCACAAAGCTGGGAAGTGCAAAGGCAGCACTTGGCAAGTCACAGCTACAAGGTAGAGCAGGAGAATTGGAAGGAGTAAAGAAGCCAGCAGCACAGCAGGGCAGGCTGAGCTCCTCTGAAGGAGCACACTCTGCACTCCCACACCTCCACTGAGCCTCTCCTGAGCAGGGAAGTTGTAGGCACAGAGCTAAT